AGCAGAAGAGTGATAGCTCATGGTCCTCCATGTAAGTGGAGGGTGGGGAGGAAGTGATTTTCAGGGTGGAAACCTAGAGGCCACAGATCCTGTAGTGATGCAACCTGCACGCAGGTTCTTAAGCATACCTGGTACCTCCAGAACCTGCCAATGCTTCTACGGCAGACACTACTCTTCATGAGGGGGCAGAGCTGTTACTCTTTTTGTAACTGCCCAGCCCATGGGGTGAGTGGCAGAGAAAATGCTCAAGGGCGAGCCAGTTCACAGGCACTCTGCTCCCAAGCTAGCTTCCAGGGCTTCCTTGGACTTTCCTGTCCCACCGTAGAGCTGCTTGGGCAATGGTCACACCAGGCGAACATGGACTAGGAATACGAGAGTACAACCAGAAAACACTTGCTTGGCCTTCCCCTTCCCATCATTATTTCCCATTAGTGGAGTTAAGCGATTCCTGTCTTCTCTCTCTTCAGTGCTGGGTTTGGAGGTGAGAGCCTGCATCCTGTGCGTTGCCATCTCATCAGGACCTGGAATTCCCCAGAAGTCTTCATTTACGTTGGTTTTTGATATCCTGATTATGTCATGGCTTTGTGTGTGTGTTTTTTTTTTGTTTGTTTGTTTGTTTTTTTTTTTTTTTTTGAAAATGAAACATTCATTCAGTGCATACGAATATTTATTCAGCACTGTGGTTGCAAGATCCTTTTCTGGTGTTGGGATAAAATAGTCAAAGAACTTTTCTAAGCACTGTTCTCCCTGGAATTAGCTAAACAAATCAACTTGGCATTGCCCCCAAGGCCTTCAGCCTGTGACTCACCACAATCGCCAGAAGCCAGCCTTGAATTTCCTCCCTCGTGAAGTCTGCCAGGGCATGTTCGCCCCCTTCGGAGCTGCTGACAGCTCACTTTCTCCCTTCACAGCTACTCCTTCAGCCCCAGTCCCTCAGCTTCCCGCCTCCATGTTGACTGCGAGCTTCTGTACGAAGTCCATGAGGCGCTTGGAAAAAGTGTCCACCTGAGATTCAGGTGGCCTGGCTCTCCCATGAAGCTCTGCACCAAATGGATGCGTGACACGGGGTAAGTTACTTCACTCCCGTGACTCAGCCTCTGACATCTGTGTGGGCCTATTTATGACTGCGCTGGTGTATGTCTCTTCCTGTAGTTTCAAAAATTCTTGAGCATAGAACCTTTGAAATATTAAGTAGATTTTACTTGTTGATGAATGGTTAGCACACATTCAATTTTCAGAACCATAAGCCAACAAAATCATTCTTGTGCCTCGGGATATACAATGGTGTGTAAGTGTCTTTTGTAATAAATCTGTCTCTAGTTTCTCAAAGTCAGCATAAATAATGTGGGAGGTATGGCTTTTTGCATTCTAGAAGGAAAGATGCACGTGTGAATGGCGTCAACTAAGACTGAAGGAGGGAAGGCACAGCGTCACGTTCTTCTTATAGCTCGTTCAAGGACAAAGGTTGTCAAGGCCAGGGTCACACAATCTGCCAGTTTGTCCTCCAGGCCACTCTGCGATGCCCTACTCCCTGTATTGGACGATTCAGGTGCAGTTTTAGGAGAGACAGTAGTGCCCTGAGAGCCCTACATTGCCAGGACCCCCTTTGCCATAGCTCAGTTCTAAAGATTTATGCGTGTCCTGCTTGGGCTCCCTGCTGTGCTGTGCAGGGACCCCATCCTTACTTCCAATGGAGTGATGTGCAGCTGTCCATTCTCATAGGGCCAAGCGTTCCTCTTTCCTCTTTGTATCACTGGACCCCAGTATCTCCCACCTGCCCAGGGGCTTCATTCCATTTGCCGCTCTTCCTCCTTTGCCTTTATTCTCCACTCTCGGTTCTTCTTTTTCAATCTGAATGCCTGCCAATCTCTCCTTTTTTTTTTTTTTTTTTTTAAGATTTATTTATTTACTTTGAAAGTTGGAGTTACACAGAGAAGGAGAGGCAGAGAGAGAGAGAGAGAGGTCTTCCATCTGATTGTTCACTCCCCAATTGGCCGCAACAGCCGGAACTGCGCCGATCAGGAGCCAGGAGCCTCTTCTAGGCCTCCCACGCGGGTGCTGGGGCCCAAGGACTTAGGGCCATCTTCCACTGCTACCCCAGGCCACAGTAGAGAGCTGGATAGGAAGTGGAGCAGCTGGGATTAGAACCAGCGCCCATATGGGATGCCAGCGCTTCAGGCCAGGGCATTAACCAACTGCGCCACAGCGCCGGCCCCCAATCTCTCCTTTTAAACAAACCCTCATACATGCACATCTGCACTCCCTCATCTGGCCATGCCCCTTTGCCTCCTCACCCTCGGTACACATGGTGCCTCCTCCTCAGCCCACGACTTGGCTTTTCTCTGTTCCTGGAGGACCTCTAACCTCATGTGTATAAAACTGTAGCACAGTTTACTTGTTTATACACCTGTCCTTCTCATGTGATTTGAGGATCTCAATTACTCTTTTTACCTATGGCTGGATTCCAATTGTCTTACCTAGTATATGCTTAATAAAAGACTGTTGAATGAATAAAGTAGAGGCAAACTCTAAAATGATGAGTGTGTCGCTTGGAGAAGTTGTTACCAAATCTCAGTAAGGAATCTGGAATGGGACCACAAAGTTCACAAGATTCTACTACCCCAAACCCACTCTGCAGTGAGGCTTGAAGAAGTGAGGTATTCTGATACATTACATTTTTAAAACAACAGGATACAGCCATAGAATTCACTGTAAAAACCACATATGTAGTTCTGATCTATTAAAGAAAATGTTTTAAATATGAAAAGCAAAAAGGAAAAAAATTACCTGATTCAGAGGTGACCTCTATTAATATTTCCATGAGTATACTATTGGACTTTTTTTTTTTTACTATGTAATGCATATGTACTCATGAAATTGTACATGAGCGTTTAAAATGGCAACACTCCATGTATATTCTTGAAAGCCTACTTTGTGCATATGTGCATCCTTCCATGACAATAAAGATAATCGTCACTTCAATGCTGGCATAGGATTAAGGCAGGTGAAAGTCCACTCTCTGTTATTGCATTTATCTCATTTATGGTGTTTCACCATTTCAAGCAACTTTTCAACAAACATTCTCTATATACAATTTTCAGCACTTATCATTTTCTGAGGATATAGTTCTAGTGGTAAAAATTTTTTGTTGAAAGACATGTTCATATTTGAAGCCAAACTGCTCTCAGAAAGTTGTACCTATCTATATCCCCAGCACCTTCAAGGTGCCCCCTGCCCCTTCCCTAGCATGAGGTTTGCTAATTCTACTGACTTTGTCATTCTGATCTGGTTTCTCACGTTTTTTCAAAATTTGCTAGTTAGGCTAAACTTCTTTTCATATCTTTATTGATCTTATTATACTTCCGTTTTGAGTTTCCTGTTCATATCCTTTGGTTTCTTACATATTTGAAAAAGTTAAATAGATTATAGATATGTATAGACATTAACTTTCTTTGGTCCAAACTTTGTGATAGGTAGTATATATCTTATTATATTATTATGTATAATTTATATTATATGTATATTTATATATAAAATCTTACTTGAGTTTTAAAGCTTTACTTATGGTGTTTAAAAAATTGTAGTTTATTATGCATAAAGTTGACATGTTTTTTCACAATTAATCCATTCTTTCCGTCAAGTTTTCTACCTCAGCTCTCTTTTCTCCATGAAGCAGAGGTTGCCAGTTGCCTACCAAATACCTTCTTCTCATTTTCCTTAACAAGAAAATGTTGCTGCCTGAAGCAACTCCTTTGCAGCTGGGGTGGCCAGTGAGGCCCAGGGAAAATGTCACCACGAGACCTTGGGCAAAGCTCCATGAGAGTGAGGAGCGAGTTTTCCTTTCATCCTTCCTTTCTGCTGTCCAGAGGAAGTAACTAGAGCTCTGGCAGCCATCTTGGACCAATTCCACTGCAAGGATGAGAGCCAAGTGTGGCAGAGGAAGCAGAGAGAGACAGCCTGGAGTCTTGAGGAAGTCACAAAGCTATCACACCAGCCCTGGCTGTCTATTTCTGAACTTTTACAGGAGAGAATCAATTAGCCACTGCAGTCAAGCCTTTGAGAAGAGCAATTTTTACTCCTCAGAGCAATTCCTAACTCATATACTACCTCAAGGATGCATCAGCGTTTACTTGTATTTTATTCTGGTCATTTTCATCTACTACATATCTCTATGGTCTCAGATATATGACTGAAAAGATATATAACCAATATTTAACAGTGTAAATAAAATAACAGTGTTTTCATAGAAACATCTTTACGTTGTTACTACATCCACATGTAGACAAAATTGTCTCACTGAATTTTAGGGAAGAATCTAATTTAAGAGCTTTAGTCTATTTTTTTTGAAGGTAGGCCAACGATCTTGACATGGAATTCTTCTGCAATGCAGATCTTGAGAAATGGCATTTGTAACATTTTCTTGGCAAGTCACAGGCTTTTATCTTGAGAAGTTAATTTTTAGAGCATGTGACTATAAAACATGAGATTTTACATCCAGTAGGAAGTTTTTCAATGAATATTACTGAATATGTAACTAAATTTGTATAATAAAGAGCTGTAGTATAGCAAAATTTTACTAGAGTTCCGTTATAGTTAGAATTTGATTTTAACATCATTGGTTTTAAAATATGTTTTGACTGTAAGTGTAAAATGTTTTTCTAAAACTTAATATATATAACTCTTGCTTCTGTAAAAGTTATATACTAGTGTTCAATTTAATGTAGCTGGTATTTTCTTAACTAATACTTATTAAGTATATATTTAACCTCACAAGAACCTGCAAGGTAGATAAAATCATCTCTATTTCAAGAGAGGAGGAAATTGAAGCTCAGAGGTGTTGATTCACTTATCCAAGGCCACTCAATGGCTTCTTCAAGCTGTTGATTCCAAAGTCTAACCTCCTGATGGCTCATGCCAGGCCCTGGGCCAGGCCTGCAGGAGATAAGCCATCAGGAAGACATGGTCTCTGCAGTCAGTATTAAAAAAAAGTTGGCACTTACCTGCCCCGCACAGGTCTGTTATGTTAATACTAGTTGGCAGGGAACTGCCTTTTGAGTTGGCTGCAGACACAGCTGCAGCCCAATATCCAGTTCTGGGAACGACCCAGGTCCAGGAGGTGTGTCTTGTGAGGTTCTGTAGTGTAGTTTTCCTTCCTGCCATCTCCCACAAGGTCACTCGATAGTGGAGGATTTTCCCTCTTGCCTCTGATATACTCAGATTCTGCAACAAAACACATTGACCTAATGTTTAATCTCAGACAAGATAGCTGGATGCTCTGTGCCTGGACCCCAGGCTTGTGCTACAGGCGGCCACATCTGAGTGACCTTTTTATTTACATCGTCTCCTCTCCACCCCCACTCCACACTGCGAATTAGAAAAAAGGACCACAGTTAACATATTTTAAAGATAATTCTCCAAAACATATTGATTTTCCTTACTAGTAGTAGACTTACCAATGGTAGACAACCTGATTATGAACCATGGAACAAGTGTGGGATTGGAACTCGGAAGACCTGGATCTGAACTGCAGCTCTGCCAATCCCACAGACCCAGTGCAAGGCATTCAGCACCTGAGTCCCCATTTCTAAATTTGTGAAACACACATGCATGCGTATGACTTTTATATAGAAAGCGCGGTGCTGTTCAAGACATCAGTGCAAGATTTTCAAGAGCTAAACTAGTAAAATCTATACTTAGTGTACTGAATTAGCCATCTGTGCTAGGAAACTAAGACACTGTTCATAAATGTGTGACTAACAAGTTTTGGAACGGCAAAAATTCCAATTGAGATCATTTGGGAGCAATCCCAGAAAGCAAGCAGAAAAGTAATTATTTGTATTGTAGCCCTCTTTGGACAAGGATCATAGGAAACAGAAGCAGAGAGAATGGCAAGTTGTCACGTCCAGCACTGGCAGTGCCCATCCTTGCCTACTGCAGGGAGATGAAGGCTTGGTTCCCCAGACTTGGCAAGACTAATCCTTCCATGGGTGGGCAGGGCTTCCAGCTGCCTTTGCTGAAAGCCACACCTTAGGATCAGCCAGTGCCCCTTGATCTGGTTCCTTGTTCACCAGTCTTCTAACAGTTTGGTTTCCTATATAGTTATCTGATAGGACAGGCTGGGCTGTCATGAACACTTGATTCACGAAAAATTTGTGTTTTTCACTTTAAGTGATTAAATCGGCCTTCTGATGATAATCTGGCTTCTGAAACAATTAGCATACTGGGAGAGAATGTTCCAATTTGCTGATTCAAGCCTGCTGGTTGGCCCAACAGCTGCATTTCTCACTGTAAATTAATCCACAAGCATCCAGCTTTTTATATTTCCATTTCTGGGAGCTTGATTAATGCAGATCCATTCTAAGGATCCTTCTGGAGCCACAAGGCCCAAGACTGGATCTTAAACTATGGTCAATGCCCCAGGTGAATGTCATGTTTCTTGGCAACCCTTTTGGGTGAACATTCAGTCTCTTCTTAAAGTTATCATTTCAAATATCCATCACAGCTGATCTCATGGGCCTGTCATGTGGATTAAAATAAGCAAGTGCTTTCTAAAGTATGGTGTTCTAAACTGTTATTAATAAATGGCCTTTGCCAGAGGAGAAAAACAGGCTAAATGAAAGCCAGTGCTAGCAAAGACCATTCCTCAGCTCCCTCTCACTCCATTCTTCTCTGGAGGTCCAGAGGTAGGACTTCGCCCACTCCTACTCCATGCTCCCCCACCCCAAGGCACTCCCCAGGAGTTAACTGACCTCAAGAAACTCCCTATTCCTGCCAGGGACCCAAGAGGCTTTAGTCCCACTCTAGCAACCGAGGAATCAGAGCTATAATAGGAAAAAAGCACCTTGCAAACCACCTTTATTTTCTCTCACTCTCTTTCATAGACACTCCAGAAATTTTAGTCTAATTATAACGTGCTAAAAATAGGGGGAACATGTCACCTTGGATCCAATGACCTTGCATGGTGACTGCTGTGAATCCAATTGATCACAGTGATCTATTACATAGAGGTGTGGACCAAGAGAGTAGTGGAGGGCCTGGTCCCAGACCCTTGCATTTTGTCCTCCAAATCCCATATTTTAGGGTTGAAAAGATCAGTGAAGAGGTGAGGATTGGGTGGAAGTAGTTCAACAAGCATCCTGTGGATTATGCTCATACCAAATGTCAAGTTCAATTATTAGGATAAAGATTAGCTTCTCTCACGTAATTAATCTTAATCAAATTGGAAAATGGGCCTAACTTATTCAACAGGCTCCATGGAACAAAAAAATTCAATAAGCCAGCAGGAAAACAGGTATTTAGCCAGATGGGTACTTAGTCTTCTAAAGCAACTGAAAACAGCATCATTAGTTTGGTTTAAAAAAATAGCAAAATAAAATGTGCAAATAGTATACATAGCCCACCACTCTTGGATTATGCCAGTTCCTATAGGAATACAATATCATCATGGAACCACCAAACTGAAGGGATGCTATAGATTCACAATTAATTCAACATTTTATTTTACAAATGGGGAAACTGGGGTCCAGAGTGGTTTTTGCTCAAAGGATTAGATGGAGAAGAGTAGAACTCAGAGCTCTCAACATCTAGGTCATTGTGCCCTCCAGTACCATGCACTGCTCCTTATACCTCCAAGCCTGAGACGATGAACTGGTAGACATGGACAGCCATGTTTCAGAGCTCGAATCCCCAGTCACCCTTGCACACAAGTTGCAAAGCACCTTCTCTAGCTGTGGTGTATTCTGGCACTCAGCATCAACAGTGGGCATGAATTCAGCAATTTGGGGAAGATGGGGACCTATAATTCATTTTTCCCCCAAAGCCAGCAGGCTCTGAGTCACAAGGAGGCAAGCTGTGAACCTAAAAAAACTGCAGACCCAAGAAGCCAGTTGACTCTTCTCGGATAAACCTATTTATACTCCAGGCTGGGTATATGGGCGGTGATAAAGAAAAGACCGACATTTATTGGGCTTTACCATGAATCAGGGGTTCTACATCTATAAGCACATTCAGCCTGCCTCATTTTTCCCCCCAGGATTTTCAATCTTTAATAGCCTTGAATTCTATATTTGCTATAACCTTGTTTGTGGATGCCCAATATTTAGGAAAGACACAACAAGTGACAGGTTAGCACTCCCTTTCCTTCTGATCCAGAGCTCCATACCTATATTATTTCAATCATTAGAAACAACATGGGCCTGCGCCGCGGCTCACTAGGCTAATCCTCCGCCTTGCAGCGTCGGCACCCAGGGTTCTAGTCCCGGTCGGGGCACCGGATTCTGTCCCGGTTGCCCCTCTTCCAGGCCAGCTCTCTGCTGTGGCCAGGGAGTGCAGTGGAGGATGGCCCAAGTACTTGGGCCCTGCACCCCATGGGAGACCAGGAGAGGCACCTGGCTCCTGCCATCGGATCAGCGCGGCGGCCATTGGAGGGTGAACCAACGGCAAAGGAAGACCTTTCTCTCTGTCTCTCTCTCTCACTGTCCACTCTGCCTGTCAAAAAATAAAAAATAATAATAATAAAAAAAAGAAACAACACTATTTGGCTCCATTTTCTTAAGGGTTTGCATAAGGGACTTCAATACCTTGATTGGTAATGTTGTCTTCCATTGTCATAGGAAACAGAATGAAGGTCCAGTAATGACCATGTCTGATGATTAAAATAAGATGACATAAATGAAGTCAGCTATACATCTTATCATTTTGATGAGGGTGCTGAACCTTGAAGTTAAGGAACTGCCTCAAGTAGTCCTTACAGAAAAGTAATGTGAGGTTTTAGAGCGCCCTCTGGTGGATATGAGCGAGGGCCTGCCTAACCAAATGGGTTGTCTTGTACATCCAGGAGTGTCTACACAAGTTCTTGTACACTCTCTGGCAGTGCTGATTGGGCCTCAGGCCAGTGTTCCCACTGTCATTGTCACCCTCTCCTATCAGTAAGAGTAGGCTAAGAAGAAAAATCTAATTGAATCTTTCCTTCAGTTTTTTTTTTCTGCTGTGTTTTGTAGGAATTTTTAATTTTTAAAAAAGATTTATTTATTTATTTGAAAGTCAGAGTTACACAGCATAAAGAGGAGAGGCAGAGAGAGAGAAGAGAGAGAGAGAGGTCTTCCATCCGATGGTCCACTCCTCAAATGACTGCAACAGCCAGAGTTGGGCCAGAGCTGACCTGATCTGAAACCAGGAGCCAGGAGCTTTCTCCTGGTCTTCCATGTGGGTGCAGGGGTCCAAGGACTTGGGCCATCTTCCAGTGCTTTCCAGGCCATAGCAGAGAGCTGGATCGGAGGTGGAGAAGCCAGAACTTGAACCAGCACCCATATGGGATGCTGGCACCGCAGGTAGATCGTAAGTGGAGCAGCTAGGACTCGAATCGGCGCTTCAGGCCAGGGTGTTAACCCACTGTGCCACAGAGCCGGCCCCAGGAATTTTTAATTCCTAATTATTTATTTGAGAGGCAGTAAGGCAGAGAGAGAAAGAGAGAGAGAGAGAGAGAGAGAGAGAGAAATTCTACCTGCTGGTTCACTCCTCAAACGCAATTACTTGAGCCGTTGCTGCTGCCTCCCAGGATCTGCAGTGGCAGTAGGCAGGAGTCAGAAGCTGGAGCAGGGAATTGAACCCAAGTACTCCAGTGTAGGCAGCAAGCAGCTTAACCACTAGGCTTGGGGCCAGTGCTATGGCATAGTGGTTAAGCTGCCACTCCAGTGCCAGCATCCCATAGGGGCACTGGTTTGAGACCCAGCTGCTCCACTTCCAATCCAGCTCTCTGCTGTGGCCTGGGAAAGCAGTGGAAGATGGCTCAAGTCCTTGGGCCCCTGCATCGGTGTGGGAGACCTGGAAGTAGCTCCTGGCTTCGGATCGGCACAGCTCCAGCTGTTGCGGTCAGTTGGAGAGTGAACCAGCAGATGGAAGACCTCTCTCTCTCTGCCTCTCCTTCTCTCTCTATGTAACTCTGACTTTCAAATAAATAAATAAATCTTAAAAAAAATTTAAACACTGGGCTAACTGCCTGTTTCTGGGGGAAGTTACTTAAAGTTTATATGGAAAACCTTTCTGCCTTAAGTTTGCCTGGGAAAGGAAGAGTGAGCAACTCCCTCAATAAGCCTGTGGTAGGACTTCCGCCTCAAAAGGCTTTCAGTGCCACAGATAACTCCATGACTGTAATCAATAGCAGAAAAAAAACCCTGACACATTTCAGAACACAATTCACATTTTTCGAAATTAAAAATCTC